CAGAACAAGAAAGTTCTGAGGGGTGGGGCGCGCCCCCGCCGCGCACGACGTCTGAATAATTCTGAAATCCGGAACTTTTCAACATGGATTCCAGCATTTTTCAAAATCGACCGCGGAATTTCTCAAAAGCGGTTGTGGTATTTTTCAAAAAGTAGGCCAGACATGCTCAAATTCGTTCCCAGATTTATAACAAATTTACGCTCGGGGAATTCTCCAGAGTCGCGCATGATCTGCCCATCAGGTCTGTTTGGTCATCCGCCGAGGCGCGCGGCGCGCGGCGGCGGGCGACGGGGCGGCGCGCCGCCGCCCCCCCTTGCGTTCGGCTTTGAGGAGGGGGATCAGCGAGTCCCAAATAGCCCCCTACGGGCGACCACTCGATCGCGAATGGGTGATCGGCCAGCGGCGCCAGCCAGAGTAGACAATGTTCGACGCAAAGTGTACCCCGCGCGAAGACTGTTAGAGATCCCGGAACCCCCAGAACGGGTCAATAGCACGTTGTGTAAATAGACCCCCGCTCCCGCCCGAGACTTCCTCGCATTTTATTCAGGAATCGCGCTCTCGCTTGGGACTTCCCTACAATTTATTCAGGAATCGCTCTCCCGGAGCTCTGGGGTCGCGCTCTCGCTGGAGACTTGCTTGCAACTTACAGAAGCATAGCTTTGCGTTGGAATTTCTCGCAATTTGCCCGAGCGCCGCGGTCCCGATACCCGGGCACCGAGGAGTCGCGCCCGTTGTGGCCCCATGTGCATGCCCTTCGTGGCCCCGCTGTCGCCATTTGCGTCTCCTTCATTGTCCTGCGTGGCCCAGTTGCTACCCTCAGTGGCCCCATAGTTGCCTTCTGTGGCCCGCATTATCTGCACTTCGTGGCCCCCGCTCGTTCGCGCTCTTCGTGGCCCCATGCGCATTCCCTTCGTGTCCTCGCTGTCGCCCTTCGTGGCCTACTTCGTGCCCTTCGTGGCCCTGCTGTCGTTCTCTCACGATCTCGCTTTCGCTCGTCGTCGCCGTCGTCTTCGACGTCGTCGTCGTCGTTGTCGTCGTCGTCGTCGTCGTGGTCGGTCCCCTGTCCGTCCCTCATGGGGTCGGGTCGACGGTCCGCTGCCGCCCCGCCGATCAGCGCTGCCGCTGGCCAGGCCGACGGTCCGCGGCCGCCCCGCCGTTTGCCGAGGCCCTTCCTGCAGGGGAGAAAGGTAGAATCCCCAGAAGGGGCACGATCGAAGACGAAGAGGGCGGGTATCGAGGGTTTGGGAAATACGCGTTATCTGGCATTCGAGCATATAAGGGCGAACATTCTTAAAATATTATTATTGTTGTTGTTGATGTTGTTTTTGTCTTGATTGGACACCTCGAACGCACCTGGGCAAATCGCGGCCGCCCGGGGGCCGCGCCGATCGAGGCTCGCGGCGATCGTGCCTGTGTCGGGCGCGGAGCCTGGGGGTTATCTTGCGCCGCCCTGGGTCGCGGTGGTCATCTAACAACAAGTTTGACAGGGCGGCGAGCAGCTTGAAGAGCGCGCAAGGGGGGGGGGGGGTCGCGATCGGAGTGGGGGGGCTGGGAGGGGGGGGGGGGGGCAGAAGGTCCACGTCGTCGGCGGCAGTCTGGGGGGCGTTCTTGCGGGCTTACTCGCGCGTCGCATCGGCGGCAGCCGCGGGTCGCGGCGGCGCGCCCTCGACGTCGTCGGCGCGCGGGGGCGCGCGGGGCGCGTTGCCGTTGGCTTTCGCGCGATGATGGTGCAGTAGCCATATGAAAGTTTGGATCGCAGGAATGTTGGGGTGGCCCGTGGCTTTTTGCAGTGGCGAGTCGGCCTGTAACTTCGCGTGGCCCTGGTCCGCCTCCACTGATTTTGCTCCGCCTCATCGCCTCGCCCCCCGTGTTCCAAGGGCCCGTTCGCAGCGGCCCCGTCGAGGCCGTTCTAGCCGCCGCCCCCGCTCAAGTCCCAGTCGCCCCTCCTGTCGGTGGCTGCGCTGCTGTTTCTGCCCCCTGGTTTGCCTTTGCCGCGTCGCCGCCGCCGCTGCAGTCGCGGATGCGGCGTCGGAGATCTGCAGATTCGGCAGGGTTGCGTCGTCGAATCGCAAGAGAGGCGTTTGAGTTGTCCGGGGATGGATCACCCCTGGGCGGGCGCGCGCAGTTGCGTTTCGCGCTTGCCACGTGCCGCATTGCTAGTCCAGCGAGCGGTTTTTTCGTGACTATACAGCGGGGACATATTCTTCACCTGTTTCACAGCATTATTTCCGAGCATTTTCATGCAATGTAATGTGTTCCTGGCCTCCCGGGCTGTCCATGCATAGCTGCCTTCTAATTCAAGAACACAGCTCCCAGGATTGCGGGGGTCGGACCTGGTGGGGGCCTGGTGAGTGCCAGGATGCTGGCCGCGTCGGGCGCGGTGGGGGGCGCGGTGGGCGGTCCCAGGGCGGGTTCGGCAGGCCCTGGGAACGCATGGCCCAGGGGTCCAGGATGCTGGCGGCGTCGGGCGCGGTGGGGGGCGCAGTGGGGGTCCCGGGGCGAGTTTGGCAGGGTGGGTGGTCCCTGAAAACACATGGCCAGGGGGTCCAGGATGCTGGCGGCGTCGGGTGCGGTGGGGGCCTGTCGAATTCGGTTGTCGTAAGGCGCGCCTCGAAAACGCACTTTTCCTCGCGCGCCTCTGGGGTCGGCGGATTTAGTTGCGTGTCCCCAGGCCCCTTCATAGTCATTGAGTCAGCGACGGAGGTCCGCGCGGAGGTCTTGGCAGGGCCCCCGCCCCGTTTGCAGGGGCCCGCCGTGGCCCCGAGCGCAACGTCGGTCACCCTTCTTGTCGCGTAGCACGAGGGGTGCATTCTATCGCTCTGGTCATGACCAGCTCCGCTTTTGGCGCTTCGGCTCCGCCTTGCGGCGCACACGCGGTGCATGATGCAGGTCGATGTTCGATGTCCGATGTCTTCGTGGTTCACACCCACACGATCCTCCCCCTTCCCCTTCGCCCCATCCGTTCCTCCTCCTCGTCCTCCTCCTCCTCCTCCTCCTTTTCCTCCTCCTCTTCCTCCTCCTCCTCCTCCTCCTCCTCCTCCTCCTCCTCCTCTTCCTTTCAGCGGCGTTCGATCCAATCGGGCCTGTCGCCGGGCACTGCAGGATGACTTCCAGCCTCCCCCCCCTCCCTGCTTTCTCTCTCCACCTCTCCCTCCCTCGCACGATCGTGTTTCTGTATTGCTCGGGGCATGACGGGCGTCATGGCCCCCGCCGCCCCCGCCCTTCTGACGTAATGCTCCCCCCCGGGGCGCTCCGGGCACTGCCGCCGTGCGCGTCGGGATCCGCATAAAAATCGGCACAGGAGTCTGGTCCGCGTCGTCGTCGTCGTCGTCGTTGTCGTTCGTCGCTCGTCGCTCGTCGTTCGTTGCTCATGCTTTTCAGGGAACGATGACGTCGCGTTTCGCGCCCGCGTCGTCCGGGAATGCTTAGCATTGACTGAAGACATGTATCTGAAGCATGTAGGTGGCGATCTGCACCTCAACGCCTGTGCACACCACACACGCTATGCACACCACAGCAGCCGCGTGCAACACAGCGCCAGTGTGTGCCGCAGTGCCCGCGGGCAGCACAGCGCTTGTGTACACCACAGCGACTGCGTACACAACATTTGCCGTGCGCAACACAGCGCCAGAGCACACCACAATGCTTGCGAACACTATAGCGCCTGTGTGCACCACGGCGCCTGTGTGCACCAGAGCAACCGTGTGCAACATATCACTAGTGTTGTAGAGATAATGTTAAAAAGAGTCCGTATGACAAAATGGAGCTCGTGTGGATTCCACAGAAAACAATTGTTTTATATAGGATTTGGACAATGATCCGTATGGAAAAGGGACCGCCGCTGGAATCAACGAGTCCTCGCGAGTCCGCCTGGCATCTGCGTCCAGGAGGCTCCAGCTAAATCAGCCATCCAAGAACCATGTGGACTGATTCAGTAGACCATTCTGCGGTGCACGACTAGATGCGCACGCGCGCTGTAGCGCCGACCCGCACGACAGGGTGGAAGGGTGAGGGAGGATGAGGAGGAGGAGGAGGAGGAGGAGAGGAGGAGGAGGAGGAGGAGGTGAGGAGGAGGAGGAGGAGGAGAAGGAGGAGGAGGAAAAGGAGGAAAAGGAGGAGGAGCAGGAGCAGGAGGTGGTGGTGGAGGAGGAGGAGGAGGAGGAGGAGGAAGAGGAGGGAGGAGGGAAGAACGTCGCATTCTATTCTCAGCACTGCCTTGGCGTGGCGTTTGGCCGTCCGCAGCAGATCCATGCTCCTCCTACCTGTCCTGCGCACGTAGGCGCTGTGGTGTATACCTGCGCTGCGTTGCACGCGGATGTTGTGATGTAGATAGGGGTGCACAGGCGCTGCGGTGCACGCAAGCATTGCGGTGTACACAGGCGCTGTGTTGCACATGGTTGTTGCGGTGTACACATTCTTTGTGGTGTACACCGGCGCTTTTGTGCACGCAAGCACCGTGGTGTACACAGGCGCTGCGTTGTACACGCGCGCTGCGGTGCACGCGAGCGTTGTGGTGTACACAGGCGCTTTGGGGCAGATCGCCGCCTACATGGTGCTCGTGTCGTCGTCGTCGTTGTTGTCGTTGTCGTCGTTGTCGTCGTTGTCGTCGTCCTCGTCGTCGTCGTCGTCCTCGCTTGTCGCTCGTCGCTCATGGTCGTCGTGCGCACGGGCGCGGCTGTGGTGCTGGAGCCACACGGCGGAGGGGGGGCGTTACGTCATACCCTCCCCCGCACCCCACCCCCTTTGACGCCCGTCGTCGCCGAAAATGAAAAAATGCGCTCTTCCTCTCTTCTGCCTGCCTCGTACCTCGTCCCTCCTCCTCCCGTGATCCTCCTCGTCCTCCGAATGGCCTTCATCGTCGTCAGCCTTGTCGCCAGCCCCCAATACCCCCAAGCAAGTCCCTCGTCCTCTCAGCCTCCCCATGGCAGGACAAGGAACGGGGCACGTGAGGAGCCCACCCCCCCCCCTCTCGTTTCGCAACCCCGCGGCCTGAGCCAGAGGCGGCTGGACCACCGACCGCCACGCCCGGTACGCCACCACCGACCTGGAGGCCCGGGGCTTGGGAGGGGAGGGGGGAGGGCAGGCGGGCCGGCGGGCCCAGGCATCCGACCCCGCGGGGCCGAGGAGGAGGAGGAGGAGGAGGAGGAGGAGGGAGGAGGAGGAGGAGGAGGATCTGTCGGACATGTAGGTCAGTCCTTGCGGGAAAACCGTCGCCCCCCTGCTGGGCTCTCGGCGTGTCCAGCCGATCGGCCCGCTGCGCAGCCCAAGAGGGCAAGGCGGGGTGTTGCGAGACGTCTTGGGAGGATAGGGTACGTTCCAATGCTTTCTCGTTTTTGTAGACGTGTTGTTGGCGGCGGCGTCGCCCGCGCAGCCGGCGGTGGACCAGAGCTGCGGGGCCCGCTCGCTGGCGGCTGGCCAGGCGGCGCGTTCTCCGACCTCGCGGCGCCTGTCAGATGGGCGGGGCCGTGGGTCCACGGGCCGTCGGCCCCGACGGCCTTCCAGCGGCTTGGCCTCAGCCCTGGAACGCGCGTCGAGGGCGCGCTGCTGGGCGCGGCTGGGGGCGCTGGGCGCCGCCGCGTTCCCGGCGCAGAGCGCCTGGTCCAGCGACGCGAGCGGCCGCCGAGTGGGGGCGCTGGCACGAGTGCTCCGCGAGTGCTCCGCAGTCCGCCCCCGTGCTGCCGGGCAGCGTCGGGGCGGTGGGCGGGTCAGTGCTGCGCCTCTGCGCCCAGCCTGCCGCCCAGCGCGCCGCCGTGGCGCGGCGGCCGCGGCGCTCCGCGCCCCGCCTCAAGATGCGCCGCGCGATGGGGCTCGCGGCTGCAGGCAGGCGGCCCCGTCGCAGCTGCTGGAGATGGCGGCGCGCCGAGCGCAGCCGCGAGCGCGGCGCCAGCTGGGAAGACGCCTTCGAAGGCCGAGGATGTTGGCCCCACCCGCGCTGGGCCGGCGGAGCAGGTCGCCGAGCTGATGGGGTGATTGGAGCAGAAGAGGGATATTGGTAAGTCTCTAGACTCTAGCAGCTCGCGCTGAGTCGGCGCTCGCGGGCACACGGCTCACGGAGAACAAGAAGGAGGATAGGGAGGGCGAGAGCGTCTCATTTTTTGACGACGCCTCACACGTCGACGCAAGGCGCTGGACAGAGGCCCTTGCCCGCGAACAGCCAGGCGCCCTGCTGGCGAGTGATCGATCGATATATGGCGCAACGGGGGTAGGCGGCCGATTCAGACCACCTGCGGGGCATGAGCGCTCAAGTCGCGAGGTACATCTTGAGTGTGTTTCACGGCCGCCACACTCGGCGAGATGGGGGTGGGGGGCGTGAGGGAGCTGCGCGCAGCGGGCGAGTGCATGGACGCCCTCCTCCGCGGAGAACTGTATCACTTCGGGGACCTTCTGATGCAGCGAACGAAGGCCATCGAGCAGGCGACCAAGGGCGGCCCCTGGCAGGTGGCCCAGCGCCTGGAGCTGCGTGGCGACCTCGGCGCGGGCCTCACTCAGCCAGCCGAGCTGCCCGACGCCGCGGGCAAGCGCAAGAAGCCTTCGCGGCCTCCAGGGGAGCGCGGCGAAGGCCCGCGAGGCGGGCGGGCCGTGCTGGAGACTCGGCCGAGGGGGGGGGCGGGAGGCCGGCGCCCCCCCCCCTCGAAGGGCGTCGAGCCCTGGCCCATCCGGTCCGCGCCCGAAGGCGGGTCGGACCGCCGGCTTCTCGAGGCGGGCGAGGTTCAGCAGCGGGCTCTGCGGGCGGCGGCGAAGTCGGGCGGATCGGGCGGCCAGGCGCCCCGCCCCTCATCCTTGGCGGGCGCCCAGCCGCCGGCCCCGCGGCCGCGAGGGCTGCCGCGGCCGCTGCCGCCGGGCCCCCGAGGTCGCCGCGGGCCCCCATCGCCGCGGCCGGAGCCTGGCGACGCGGCAGAGACGAGGAGGAGTGTGCCTATCGAGCAGCAGTACCGACAATCATCCGAGCAATGCGAAGGTGGTGGCCCCGACGAGGTACCGCCTCGGTTCACTCAGAACGCGTGACAGAGAGCAATTACAACGCCCACTACGCACGGAGACGCCCGCAGCGCGCGACCCCGACTCAGCGCTTACTCTCGCAGCACAAGTACTCAAGCAGTGGCGAAGCGTCCCAGTTCGCCTATAGGCCCACCGAAGAATGTTCCAAGAACCTCATGTGGTCTGCGCGAAATGTTGTTAGATCATTTCTGGCTGAGACTGTCTTGTTTTGACGCATCGGGCTTCTGTTGCAAGAACTTGTTTTCCCCTAGGGACATTTTTGGGTTCTAAGAGCATTGCGTGGTAGGCCTATGGAAATGCGGGGGCGGTCGGCCCCAGCTCAAAGTACAGCGCAACAGGACGAGACGGTCAACAAGGACTACGCGCGCGTCTCCCCCCGCCTGGGCTTCGAACAGATCCCAGTTCCCACTGCCGCGGGATGGCCCCGCACTGAGAGGGGCGCGCATATCACGATTGCCCAGCAACCAGACATCAACAGGCAATGCTCTTCCCTGCTGCAGAAGCGGCTCCAGCAAGCCCTCGACGGAAGCGCTGCTCCTCGCGTTCCATCGTCGAGACGCACTGGTCGCAGAGGCTAGCCAACGTACCTTCCCACAGGAAGGCCGGTTACCGATTCGACCAGGGACGAAGATCCACCGCGCATTGTCCGACGGGCACTACTTTTGCACTTTGCCTGGGGCGACTTCCACAGCGACGCCGACGGCGACGCGGCTCGACTCGGGCACGCCTGCTTCAGCGAAGATGACGCAGAGAAGAGCTTCAAGGATACGCTCTACAAGATCTTCTGCTAGCAGAGCGAACAGTGGCGCGGGCCCCAGGTGGGCGAAGACTACGGCGCCCGCGCCAAGTTCAAGTTCAACGACGGGGATTGCGACGGCGCCGCATTCATCGGTGCCATGACCGACGTCGACCACGACGCCACCCTAGGAGCAGAGTAGTTCTCACTCGCCAACTACTCAGCAGATGCACCCCGCGCATCAGGAGCGTCAGCCCTACGCCCGCCTTGGGCCGCATGTGCCATCGAAAAAACGTAGGAGACGCATCGCCCCGACACCCGCGCATCAGCTATCGCAATGCGTGGGGCTACATGGCCCATCCGACTGTGAGCGTGTGCTACTATACCAATGGACTGGCGCGCCCCGCGTCAAACCTGACCACCGCCGGGGGCCTTCGCCTTCAACGCGCAACGAACTGACAGCGCCAACATTGGTCAGCCCCACCTGGCTCTTAACTGTGTACCACTTATTTCTCTTCTCCCTATTCAGGTTTCACACCCCGACGATTACGCCGTGCCCACCATGCGCGCCCCCACTTCCAGACACCCGCGACCGACTATGGAACTGCCCCGCCCTGACGGACCTCGCTTCGCGTTCCGACGACCAAAACGCACGTCGTTACGAGAGACGGCGTTAGATTTTTTTCTGACACCTTTACCGAACATCCGCATTGCGACTTCGGTCAAAGACAGCTCGGAGTACATTCCGACGTCGAGAAAGGGCACTGCGAGCACTTGGACAACGAGCGACACATATGCTCAGGCCACACAAACATGACCCCACCACAGCAGCGAAACCCCAACGTCGAAGGACCCAACCATATGAAGTTTTGGGTACCGAATGTGTAAACATTTCCTTCGATGAAGCTCCCTATGGGGCCACGAAGCGCTGCGCTGGGCCGGGGGGGGAAGGGGGGGGGGGGGGGGGGGGGGGGGGGGGGGCGCGCGCGGGCGGTAGCGCTGGGGCCGTCGCTGGAGCTCCCTATGAGGCCGCGTAGCGCTGCATTGGGTGGGTGAACATATTAAATTTGGTGCGTGGGGCGCATGCGGGCGGTCCCATTGGGGCCTTCGGTGGAGCTCCCCATGTGGCCGCGAAGCGTTGTAAATGGTGGGTGCGAATGCCAAGTTGGGTGTGGGGGGCGCATGCGGGCGGCCCTACTGGGGGCTTCGGTGGGGCTCCCTATGGTGCCACGAATCGCTGTACTGGGTCGATGAACGTGCGAAATTGGGTGTGGGGGGCGCATGCGGGCGGTCCCACAGGGAGCTTCGGTGGGGCTCCATGTGGGGGCGCACGCGGGCGGCCCCACTGGGGGTTTCGGTGGGGCTCCCTATGGTGCCACGAAGCGCTGTGCTGGGTGGTTGGTGAAAATGCCAAAGTGAGTGTGGGGGGCGCACGCGGGCGGTCCTATTGGAGGCTTCGGTGGAGCTCCCTGTGGGTGACGCATGCGGGCGGTCCCGCTGGGGGCTTCGGTGGAGCTCCCCATGGGGCCGCGAAGCGTTGTGCTGGGTGGTTGAAAACGCCAAATGGGGCATGGTGGACGCGTGCGGGCGGTGGTCACATTGGGGGCTTCGGTGAAGCTCCCTGTGGGGCCACGGAGCGCTGTACTGCGTAGGTGGCAGCGCCAAATGCTGTGCGGGGGACGCATGCGGAGGGTTTCGGTGGGGCTCCCTATGGGGCCACGAAGCGTTGTACTGGGTGGTTGACAATGACAAGTTGGGTATGGGGGACGCGCGCGGGCGGTCCCACCGGGGGCTTCGGTGGGGCTCCATATGGGCCACGAAGCGCTGTACTGGGTGTGTGGAAATGCTAAATTGGATGCGGGGGGCGCATGTGGGCGGTGCCACTGGGGGTCTCGGTGGAGCTCCCTATGGGGCTGCGAAGCGCTGTACTGGGTGGGTGGACATGCCAAGTTGGGCGTGGGGGACGCATGCGGGCGGTCCCACTGGGGGCTTCGGTGGAGCTCCCTATGGGGCCACGAAGCGTTATACTGGGTGGGTGAAAATGCAAAGCGGGTGTGGGGGACGCACGCTGGCGGTCCCAGTGGGGGCTTCGGTGGAGCTCCCCATGGGGCCACGAAGCGCTGTACTGGGTGGTTGAAGATGCCAAACGGGTGTGGGGGGCGTATGCGGGCGGTCTCATTGGGGGTTTCGGTGGAGCTCCCTATGGGGCCACGAAGCGCTGTGCTGGATGGGTGCCAATGCCAAGTTGGGTGTGGGGGACGCATGCGGGCGGTCCCACTGGGGGCTTCGGTGGAGCTCCGTATGGGGCCACGAAG